GGCCCGACAGCCTCCCGAGGCCGGCTGCCAACGCCGCACCCTTCCCATCCGTGTCCTGGAAGTGCTCAGAGGAAACATCTGCCCAGAACATGACATCACTAATGAGACAGTCACTATATGACATAAATCCACTTAGCACAACCTCACCCTCACCTAGCAACTGGGTCACCAGCAAACTAACCACTTGGTGTGACTCCTCCATTAGGACTACGTGGCCCGGGAGCCTCAGAGGCCAACGTTCCCAACCAGGGACTCCACCCTTCTCCCAGAGAGAGGCAAAAACAAAACAATGGAACTGAGAACCCGGTGGAAGAGCTGGGAACGGTTAACAGGGTGTCTTTCACCTCTGTGTGTAGGAGCCGAAGTGGAGCCGCCAGCTGTGCAGAGGACGCCCCCTCCTGGGGGGTAAGAGCAGAGGACGCCCCCTCCTGGGGGGTAAGAGGCCTCACATGAGGCAGGCGGGCAGGGTCCCTGTGGGGTGGCATTGGCTGTTTCTGAGGCAAACAGAGCTCCCCCCGGCCTTTTTTTTTTTTTTGACGGAGTTTTGCTCTTATTGCCCAGGCTTGGCGCAATCTCGGCTCACCGCAACCTCTGCCTCCTGGGTTCAAGAGATTCTCCTGCCTCAGCCTCCAGGCTAATTTTTGTATTTTTAGTAGAGAAGAGGTTTCACCATGTTGGCCAGGCTGGTCTCGAACTCCTGACCTCAGGTGATCCACCCTTCTCGGCCTCCCAATGTGCTGGGATTACAGGCGTGAGCCACTGCGCCTGGCCACAGAACTCCCCATTTTATACAGTGGGAAACAAAGGCGCAATGACCCTGGGGACAGGCTTGGGAAACAGCTGATAAACAGCAGAGCCAGGCCACAAGGCCAAGTCTGACTCGGGGGCTCCATCCCACACCCGCTATCAACAGCAAACACATTAAAACTAAATGCCACGGCTGGGCGCAGTGGGTCACACCTGTAATCCCAGCACTCTGGGAGGCTGAGGCAGGCGGATCCCCTAAGGTTAGGAGTTCGAGACCAGCCTGGCCAACATGGTGAAGCCCTGTCTCTACTAAAAACACAAAAATTAGCCAGTAATGGTGGTGTACATCTGTAATCCCAGCTACTTGGGAGGCTGAGGCACAAGAATCGCTTGAACCCGAGAGGCAAAGGTTGCAGTGAGCTGAGGTCACGCCACTGCACTCCAGCCTGCTGGGCGACAGAGCGAGACTCTGTCTCAAAAAACAAAACAGGCCGGG